GCTGATGTTGAGGATGTGTCAGGCGATTCTGTGGCTTCAGCACTCCTAAGGGGAGCGGCGGGGGGGTATTTCCTTCGGCCCCTTTCGCGAATTTTGTGGGGATGCCTCAGGCGGTTTGGCCATTTTCTCTTCCAACATGTTTCGCTTTCGGAGCAGATTTGGAGGATGTGTCAGGCGATTCTGCGGCTTCAGCACTCCTAAGGGGAGCGGCGGGGGGGTATTTCCGTCGGCCCCTTTCGCGAATTTTGTGGGGATGCCTCAGGCGGTTTGGCCATTTTCTCTTCCAACATGTTTCGCTTTCGGAGCAGATTTGGAGGATGTCTCAGGCGATTCGCTGGTTTCAGCACTCCTAAGGGGAGCGGCGGCAGGGTATTTCCCTCGGCCCCGTTCGCGGGATGTTGTGGGGATGTCTCAGGCGGTTTGGCCATTTTCTCTTCCAACATGTTTCGCTGTCGGAGCAGAATTGGAGGATGTCTCAGGCGATTCGCTGGTTTCAGCATTCTAAGGAGAGCGGTGGGGGGGTATTTTACTCGGCCCCTTTCGCGGGATTGTGTGGGGATGTCTCAGGCGGTTTGGCCATTTTCTCTTCCAACATGTTTCGCTTTCGGAGCAGATTTGGAGGACGTTCGCGCCCAGTTTGCGGGGATGTCTCAGGCGGTTTGGCCGTTATGATGCTGGGCATCTTGTCGTTTTCGGAGCAGTTTTGGGAGGATGTCTCAAGCGATTTGCTGGTTTCAGCACCCCAAGGAGGAGGAGGAGGAGGAGGAGGAGGAGGAGGAGGAGGAGGAGTAAGAGAAGGAGGAAGCGAGGAGGAGGAGGAAGAGGACGAGGAGGAGGAGGAGGAGGAGGAGAAGGAGGACAGCATGAACACGGTAGGAGCAGAAGCAGGAAGGGGAGGATGATGATGATGATGATGATGATGATGATGAGGAGGAGGAGGAGGAGGAGGAGGAGGAGGAGGAGGAGGACGTGGGCAACTCGAGTAGCCAGGGCCAGACGATCGAGGTTCGATGTTCCAAGGCTTTAGGTTTTACTCAAACGCTTCCGCCTCACTCTCCTTCGCTCTCCGCTCTCCTTCACTCTTCTGCATTCATACTCACTCATACTCAGACTCAGTCACACGCAGGCTCACTCGCACTTAGACTCGCTCATATCCATACTTAAACTTACTCACACTCAGACTCACGCTCAGAACCACTCATACTCAGACTCGCTCCTGCTCAGACTCATCATCCTTCGGTCCGCTCAAACGCAGACCGGCTCACACTCAGACTGCCTCACATCCATACCCATTCACACTCGGCCCCCTCGCACTCAGATTCATTAACACACACTTTTTCTCACACTCAGACCCACTCAAGCCCAGACTCACTCATGCTCAGACTCATCCTGCTACGATCCGCTCAATCACAGACTGGCTCACACTCAGATTCGTCCATACTCAGACCCACTCGCACACAGACGCACTCGCGCTCATATTTACTCACACGCATACCCACTAAAACCCAGCCTCAATCGCACCCAGATTAACTCACAGTCAGAATCAGTCGCTCTCAGATTTGCTATTGGTCGCACTCATGCTTGCAGACTGTGGGAATGTCTCGAGCGAGCGGTTCGCCCTCGCACACAAGCGCTCACTGACAGATACCAATAGGAAGACGTACCAAGAGAATGAGATGCACATATGGGGAGCCCCGCGTCGAGTAATTGCTGAAGAGTGTGTGTGTGTGCTTGTGTGCGTGTGTGTGTGTTGCGAATGTGTGTGTGTTGCGAGTGTGCGTGTGTGTGTGTGTGCGAGTGTGTGTGAGTGTGTCTGTGTTTGTGTCTGTGTCTGCATCTGTGTCTGTGCATGTGCGTGTGCGTGTGTGTGTGTGTATGTGTGTGTGTGAGCGCGAGTGTGTGCCAGTGCTTGTGCCTGTGTCTGTGTATGCGTCAGTGTTTGTGCCTGTGTCTGTGCCTGTGCCTGTGTCTGTGCCTGTGCCGGTACCTGTGCCTGTGCCTGTGTTTGTGTTTGTGTTTGTGCCTGTGTCTGTGTCTGTGTTTGTGTCTCTGTCTGTGTCTGTGTCTGTGTCTGTGTCTGAGTCTGTGTGTATGTGTCTTTGTGTGTGTGTCTGTGGGTGTCCTTGTGTGTGTGGGTGTGTGTACGGGTGTGTGGGTGTGCGTGTGTGGGTGTGTACGTGTGTGGGTGTGTGGGTGTGTGTATGTGTGTATGTGTATGTGTGTAGGTGGGTGTGTGTGGGTGTGTGTAGGGGGGTGAGGGTGTGTGTGTGTGCGGTGTGTGGTGTGTGTGTGGGTGTGTGTGGGTGTGTGTGGGTGTGTGTGGGTGTGTGTGGGTGTGGGTGTGGGTTGGTGTGTGTGTGGGTGTGTGTTGTGTGTGTGTGTGTGTCTGTGTGCGTCTGTGTGTGTGTGTGTGTGTGGGTGTGCGGGTGCGTGGGTGCGTGGGTGCGTGGGTGTGTGGATGCGTGGGTGCGTGGGTGCGTGCGTGCGTGCGTGCGTGCGCGCGCGTGTGTGAGAGTGTGAGTGTAGGGGGAGGGGGAGGGGGGGGGCGGGTGTGTGAGAGTGTGGGTGTGGGTGAGTGTGGTTGTGGGTGTGAGTGTGGGTGTGTCTTTGTGTGAATGTGTGTGTTGTGTGTGAGTTGTGTGTTGTGCGTGTTGTGTGTAGTGGTGTGTGTGTCTGGTGTGTGTAGGGGGTGTGGTGTGCGTGTGTGGTGTGTGTGTGTGGTGTGTGTCTGGTGTGTGTGTGTGTGGTGTGTGTGTGTGTGTGTGTGTGCGTGGGTGTGTGTTTGCGTGGGTGTGTGTGTGTGGTGTGGGTGTGTGTGTTTCCCAGTTAGGTGGCATATAAGGAGTCCCCTTTCGTTTGGTGGCTGCATCGGGGAACATCTTGGGATGGATGGATCCAAATTGAAGTTCGAGTGTCCTCTCTTAGGCGGTTCTTGGGGGCCTCTTTGTGGGCCCCGTGGTCCCATGTTGCGGGCCTCGGAGGCTCATGAGGGACCCTCAGAGGTTCTCTTTGGCAGGTCATCAAGGCCTTTCGGTCTAACTGGGGCACTCTGAAGTCAGGTTAGCAAAGTACGTAGCACCCAGCAGATGCGGATAAGACTGAGGGGGCGGTTGGGGCGGCGGCAGTTTGCGAGACTCCTTAGAAGTCCGCTGCAGGCGCCAAAGTTTCACACATTATACAACGAGCCCGCCGCGGGCGCCGATTTCTTCGTTAAACCAATGTGGGTAGGTCGCGGGTGGGTCGCAAATGGGTCCCGGGTGGGTTGCGAGTGGGTCGCTATTGGGTCGCGGGTGTAGAGGGCAGAATATCCACCCCATAAGAATCACCCCGACAAGCGAAGCCGTTTAGTAAACGCACACAAGCAATGAATCGAACTGGGCAGGGCTGTTTAAACAACGCCCAAGGCCGTGTAGTAAACGTCGATTGTCGGGTCTGGGTGGTTTTCCTCCCTTGAGGTGGGTCGCGGGGTGGGTCGCGGATGGGTCGCGGGGTGGGTCGCGGGTGGGACGCGGATGGGTCGCGGATGGGTCGCGGGGTGGGTCGCGGGTGGGTCGCGGGGTGGGTCGCGGGGGGTCGCGGGTGGGTCGCGGGTGGGTCGCGGGGTGGGTCGCGGGGGTCGCGGGGTGGGTCGCGGGGTGGGTCGCGGGGTGAGTCGCGGGGTGGGTCGCGGTTGGGTCGCGGGTGGGACGACGACAACAAACAACACTAACAACACGAATTACAACAACAACAACAACAACAACAATCATTTTACCCGAACGCGTGGTGTTCTCCCCAGTGCCAGGGTTTTCATACGACACCAGGCAATACCCCCACTTCGTGGGGGGGCATTACAAGCTCTACCAAATATCCAAACGACTCTTCGCGACCACCCAAACCCAGCTTCCCGCCCTATGACGTTGGGACACTTCACTTCGTGGCGTGCGGACGACCGTGGCTACTACACTGGCGTGGGGTACACACCCACAGGCCCAATGAGATTTCGGCGTGCGCGCGCGAAGAAAAAAACGAATGTGTCCCGCATGGTATTATTTGACAGGGATGATGGCCCTGGCAGGTGCGCAACCGTTGTCGCAGAAGTTCGAAAAAGTTGCTCGCAAAAGCCCGTTTGACAGAAATGTTTAAAAAGTGTTGGGTTTCCTACGAATCCGCAAGAGCGCGCGGGATGAGATTTTGACATTTTTTTGTTGAAAAACCATTGGTTTTTTGATGTTTTTATGTTAAAATCGCTCCGAACACTAAGCTTTTGGAAGGATTTCGTCTTGCGCGCGCGAATGTCCACTTTACCTTATTTTTTGCAAGGGATTCTTGAAATTTGATTATATTAGAACAAGAAATGTCATTTTATAGTGTTTTTTGCAAGGGAAAGCGGGGGGGAACAAAACAACCGGATCTTGATCACATCGAATTACCTGAGGCTTCCTCACGAAAATGATGAAAATGTAGCTGCGGCCTAGGCGGCGCAGGGGGGCCGTGCACCAGGGGTCCCAACAATAATTATTCTTGAGAATTAATAATGTTCAACAACAACAACAACAACGCAACAAGCAGACTCCTCACCACGAATTCCTTATTCAGCCACGCACCCAAGGACAATGAATGACCGTTCGGCCCCCTCACACTGACGTATGCGATCATCATGCAAAAGCATCTGGATGGCAATGTGTTGGGTTTCTTGGGCCTGCCCCAGGGCCTCCAGATGGCCTTACGAGGCCCCGAGAAGAGTCCCAGGACTGCCCCCTGGAGCTACGGTTTGGAAGGCCGCAGGAGCTGTTGGAGTCGGTTTGGGCAGATTTGGCTTCCCACAGGCTCACGGGAGAAGCGCCCGACGCGACAAGGAATTCTGGCAAGTCTGTGGGTTGGGCCCTGAAGAGTCCGACAGCACCTCTAACATCCACATCTGCATGAGCCTTGGGGCGCTCCGCTACGGGCTTCAGGTGCGGTGGCGGATAGCAACGTCACGCCGTCGCCGTCCTCATCGTCTCCCTCGCCTCTGCCAGGACTCGGGAGCTTCGTGGCGCACCACACGCAGCTCTTCCTGGGCAGCCGCAAGGGGCGCGCCCTGAGGCCGACGCCCTGCGCCGGCCGAGGGCGACGACGGCGACGACCGCGAGGGGGGGAAGGAGGAGAAGAGGGAGAAGAGGGAGGGAGGGAGGGAGGGAGGGAGGGAGGGAGGGAGGGAGGGAGGGAGGGAGGGAGGAGGGAGGGAGGAGGGGGAGGAGGAGGAGGAGGAGGAGGAGGAGGAGGAGGAGGAGGAGGAGGAGGAGGAGGAGGGAGGGAGGAGAAGAAGGAGGGAGGGAGGGAGGGAGGGAGGCGCGGAAATTGTATAATTCATAAGAGATCGTGGCCTCGGGGGGCGCAATTTTAGCGTGATTCACAAAGGATGATGGCCCTCACCCATCGGTCAGAGTGGCGCAAGCCTCCTGAAAATACGATGTGAACACAATAGTGTTGCTCAGGTTTGCAGGCGCAAGCGCGGGCATCGGCCATGCCCAGCGCCGCGGTGCGAGCAGAACGAGGAGGAGGAGGAGGAGGAGGAGAAGGACGATGAAGAGGGAGAAGGAGGGACGAGAAAGAGGGAGGAGGAGGAATGGGCAGGAGGAGGAGGGAGGAGTGAGGAGAAAGAAGGAGAAGGACCTGAGTAAACCCAATATGTGCCAACGATGCTGCAATACTTAATCCCGTATTAGGGACCCCCTCGTCATTAGCCACCGCAAGCACTGTTGTTAATTGCGCGAAGCGCTCGCCTTGAAAACGAGAGTCACATGAGCCCGCAATTCCAGCGGAAGCTCCGTTTCAAACAAATAGCCTGGCAAAGAACCCAACCATATGCAGTTGTGAGGACCGCAGTTGTGCGTACGGTATCGTCTTCCGTAGAGCTCCCTCTGGGGCCACGAAACGCTGTATTGGACGGGGGAACCGCATGTGAGTCCCGCCACTGAGAACTTCGGTGGAGCTCCCTCCGGGGACACGAAACGCTGCACTGGGCACAGGAACCGGATGCGAACTGCGTGCGCCACTGGGACCTTCGGTGGAGCTCCCGCTGGGGCCACGAAACGCTGCGCTGGGCGCAGGAACCGCGTGCGGAGTGCGCCACTGGGATTTGCGGTGGAGCTCCCTCTGGGGCCACGAAGCGCCGAACTGGGCGCAGGAACCGCATGCGGAGTGCGCCAAGGGGACCTGCGGTGGAGCTCCCTCTGGGGCCACGAAGCGTTGTACCGAGCGCAGGAACCGAATGCGGACTGGGCCACTGGGACCTTCGGTGGAGCTCCCTCTGAGGCCACGAAGCGTTGTACCGAGCGCAGGAACCGCATGCGGACTGGGCCACTGGGACCTTCGGTGGAGCTCCATCCTTGTCACGAAACGCTGCGCTGGGCGCGGGAACCGCATGCGGAGTGCGCCACTGGGATTTGCGGAGGATCTCCGTCTGGGGCCACGAATCGCTGCATTGGGCGCAGGAACTGCATGTGGATTGCGCCATTGGGACCTGCGGTGGAGCTCCCACTGGGGCCACGAAACGCTGCGTTGGGCGCGGGAACTGCATGCGGAGTGCGCCACTGGGACCTGTGGTGGAGCCCCCTTCTGGGGCCACGAAACGCTGCACTCGGCACCTGAACCGCATGCGAACTGCGCCACTGGGACCTTCGGTGGAGCTCCCGCTGGGGCACGAAACGCTGCGCTGGGCGCAGGAACCGCATGCGGAGTGCGCCACTGGGATTTGCGGTGGAGCTCCTTCTGGGGCCACGAAACACTGTACTGGGCGCCGGAAGCGCATGCGGACTGCGCCACTGGGACCTTCGGTGGAGCTCCCTCTGGGGCCACGAAACGCTGCACTGTGCGCAGGAACCGCATGCGGACTGCCCCACTGGGACCTTCGGTGGAGCTCCCTCTGTGGTCACGAAACGTTGTACTGGGTGGGAGAGACGCATGCGAACTGCGGAGGAGGGAGGAGGAGGAGGAGGAGGAGGAGAGGAGGAGGAGAGGGGTGGAAGAACGCCGGGCGCTGTCTTGTCAAAACGTGGACCCAACACCACAGGATGGTTGGGAACAAAAAACAAAAGTACTACGGTCTACGGTCCCGCTTATGATTAAGAAACCTCCCCCCGAAAAGCTGGCGCAGCGTTTCTTAACCAACTTGCCGGAAAGCTGGCTCAGCTTCTTAAGGGGATTGGTATCCTTGGACCCTGGAAATGACATAGTGTACCCTCCTGGTTCCAAAGGCTGGCCCAGCGTTTCCTTGAGAAACTTCTGAAAAGCTGGCCCAGCTTTCTTAAGTGATAGTGTTCTTAATTATTTTTTGACTGTACATTCATCCTCCCATCTTTAAGGGGCGTGGCCTTTAGCTTCTTAGTTCACAGAAGTGCCTAGCGACAGCCCGGCAATGAAAAGGAACACCATTCAATCCATGCAGGTGATGCACACATTTGGTTTCTGGTCATCGTATCGCACGACGTGTTTGAAACGGAACCGCCATCCAGATGCACAACCGCTTGACACACGAAAAGACAAGTGTGCGCGGCGCCCAGGCCAGAGCCCAAGTTTGAAGAGGAGCCGCCCTCCACATATTTATATGTATGTGTGTACAAGCGCTTGAGCTCAAGGGAGACGAGTGTGAACGGCGCGCAGGCGAGAGCGAGTGTGAACGCCTCCAGCCCGTGTAATGATGTGTGATTTCCATACCCAAGATTGTTGCAACTAGGATGTCTCAGGCGAAACGCCCGGCGCGCCCGAAGGACACACCTCGTGGCGCGAGCAGGAGGAGTGGTTTATCAGGGAGGGGGCTGCAGAAGGTGGGGGAATGAGGAAGAGGAGGCTGAGGAGGCAGGGCGGAGGGGGAGAGAGCGAGGAGAAGGAGGGAACAGCAGGAGGAAGGAAGGGAGGGAGAGAGGAAGGGAGCAGGAGGAAGACGCAGAAGGAGGATGCGAACGACGACGACGACGACGACGACGACGACGACGACGACGACGCCGACAAGGACGTGGGAGGAGGGGGGCGAGACCCGCCGCGGACCGCCACTGGGCCACACTGGCCTCCCGGCCTGCTTCCGCCGCTGCCTCCACGGCCTTCGACTGGTCTTCCCTTCATCACGCGCGGCTGGTGCTTCTCCTGCTCCCTCTGCTTCCCCAACGTTTCCTCCAGCCTCCTCCTCCCCTTCCTATTCCCGTCAGAGTGGCCCCAGCGTTGTTAAGGTCGAGGCCCGTTCCACCCAGCTCCTCCACTCCCCCAACAACGGTGGCCGCCTGTCTATCAGGCCAAGATGGCAATCATACGTTCCACCGTGCGGCGCAACTTCGCTGTAGCGATTCGATGTGATCGATGGAGAGGTCATCGTTGGGTTTTTATTTGCCGAGGGGGAATCATAGAAATTCTTCTCACTGGTCGCAAGCAAGCAGGGCAGCCTGTTCCGCCGCCTAAATCTTCTTCCTCCACAGGAAACCGAAGCTTGTTTCGACGGTACGCTCTTTGGAGGACGGATCCATATGGTTGGCGTTACTGTCAAGTATTTCGAGGCCTAGCGCTCACCTGTAAGTATAAGCCCGTCGATGCTAATGCTACCGCTCGCAGGGACCGTCTCCGAGTATGTAAGCACCCAGAAAGGGACGAGAGATTTGCCGAGCCGAGGCCCCTGACAACTGTGGAGGTGGCCCGTTTCGAAGGAGATCTGGCGTGATGCTACGGTTTCTTCGATCGAGCGGTGTGCGCCTCCCGCTGCTGACTTGCTCCTCCCCCGCATCCCGCACATCTCCTCCTCCCGCCTCACGTCCTCCCTCCACCCCTCCTCCCTCCTCCGCTCTCCCTTCTCCTCCCATCCTCTCTCCTCCTCTTCTCCTCCGTTCTCCTCCTTCTCTTTTTTTTGTTTGACTCGGGGGTGGACAGAACCCCCAACAGTGACACGTCGATTAGTGAATTGTCCGTTTTCGGTTCTCGAGAGGGCGCCGTGGCCGTTATTTTCCAGGCTTGCGCCCGCCAGGTTTGGGCCTCAGGTCGTTTTCACTAAACCACGTTTTACTAAAGGGGGGTCTGTCCATCCCCGATTGACGACGACGACGACGCTAAGTCACCCAAGAGCCGGTTCCGCCCTGGATTGTCGACGCGACGCTGGTCGCCGTCGTCGACGTCGTCGGCGGCGCCAGCCCCACAGGTCCACGCGGCACTACCTGCGCACGCGGCCGTGGGCGCGGCGGTGGCACCACGTGCGCTCGGCGGAGGCGCCGCCCTGTCGCCGGGGGTGCGCTCGTCCGCCGACGCAGAGGTCGGCCAGCCACGTCCTGGGCGCCCATCGCCGCCGCCGTCGCCTTCGTCGCCGTCGTCGCCAGACGAGGGGGTAGTGTCCAGGATGCCCCCAAGACGAGCCCAAGAGGCTCCCAAGATGGCCCCAAGGGGGGTAGCACGAACTGACATAGCGAGCCCTCCACCCCAAGATGGCCCAGAGATCCCCCCAGAGGCCCCCGAGACTCCCCCCCCGAAAAGTGTCTGGGACAGTTGATGGCGCACGGAGGGCGGCAGGTGGGGACCACCCCGTGGTGCGGGGGTGCGGGGTATCTGGCGCAATGTTTGGTGCAGGGGGGGCAGATGGAGAGCAGCTCCCGATTCCGTGTCTCAGGACGGGGTGTCTAGCACAAGTAAGATGATGTGTTTGGTCTGTAAGGTTACGGCCACAACGCGCGTTGTGCCCCCCCCCCGCCTCTCTTCCGCCACAATGCTACGCTACCCCATCCACGGTGCGCCACCCAGTACCTCCAGAACGCACGCGTGCACCACAGCCTCGTAAATGACCGCAGTATGGCCAATGGCGTTGACAAGCGGCCTGTGGTGCACGCAGGCATGTTGCCGAATTCGCTACTTGAAAGCGTTCGTTGGGTCTGTTGGTGGTCACAGGCATGGTATGGCACGAAAGCGTTCTGCTGTGTGGTACTTAGAGGCATAATATGGCGTTCAATGGCTACGATGGTGTTCGCAGTCGTACTGATATGTTCGTGGGCTGAGCATGGTCCTCAGAGGTATAATGTTGCGCTTGCAGGCTGTGGTGGTTCCCGCAGGCGCTTAGTGGCGCTCACAGGCATGCTGCCGTGATTATCGCAGGCCTATTTCGCAAATGTAAGCAACTGTTTCTCCCGTCGTATCTGGCAGTACTTTATGTATGGTAGTGGTGCTCGGAGGCATTTGCCGTAGTGGCATGGTCTGACTGCCCTCGCCACTTGAGGGCCCTCGCCACTTGAGGGTCGCAGTCACATTGTGGTGTGCGAAGGCGTGCTTTGATACCATGCACAATGCTGTGTCTCCTGGTCGGGGTGCAATATCTTAAATGTCATGTCGCAATTGTTCGAGCTCTTTTACGTCAGCCTTCGGGTTTGCTGTAGGTATGCAAGCAGCACCTTGGGCCATGCACGCGGAACGGGAACTCCTTCCCACTCCCTCATCCTCCTTCGCCCAATCTTTCGCCCCTCCCCCCACACATAGCCCCCACTTCCATTCCTCCCACATCCTTCCCCCCTTCCCCCCTCCTCGTTATCCTTCCTCCCCCCTCCCTCCGTCTCCCGCCCCTGCCCCCCCCCCTCCCCCCTCCCCCGCGACAGGCCAGCGACTGGTCCCGCTGTGCCCGCCTGCTGGCGGGCCGCGCCATCGGTGTGTGCTTCGGTGGCGGGGGTGCCAGAGGCCGCCGCCGCCACCGCGCTCGTCGTCGCCGCCGCCGTCGTCGTCATCTTCCGTCGCCGTCGTCGGGGGAGAAGGAGGGGGGAGGAGGAGGACAGTAGGGAGGAGGGGCAGAGGAAGAATATGCAGCGACGACTCCGGTGCTACTAGCAGGTGCCTTCCATACTGATCAGGTTTCTCTTCCTTTACTGCTGAGGCTGTCACGCTGGAGGAAGCGGCCGAAGCAGTGAGGGCCCTGACTAATGCTAGGAGCCACTGGGCCACCAGCCGTCAGATTATGAGTTAGGCTATGCGAAATAAAGTGACGAGGGAGGAGGGAGGCAGCACTGCTAGAAGTACTACCGAGAGGATGCGATGCCCCTCCACTTCCATCACACATGGATTCGAATGAGCGCGCATGCACATGAAAGTTGCGTAAGTGTTCGCAAGTGCGTGCCTACGATTTGTATGAGCACGCGTGCTGATTGTGCGTTTGCGCGCATATCCGTGTAATCATGGGCGTGTCCGCATGATCTGTTGCGCGTGCGTCAGGCACTTGAGCGCGTGCACCTGTACGTACGACACAACTACGTACACGGATACATTCGTGCCCGCGCCGCGCACAGTAACTTCAGCGTACTCCTTTCCACGCGTTGTTTTTGTTCATCCAGGACAGGACGCATGGTGGCCTGGCACATCCCGCGCCTTTGGTATGGAGAGCGCCGCCACAAGGGCGGCCATGCATGCGTGCGGGATTCTGGGTATGTCTGGCGACTTTTTCACGCGCATCGTGATGGGTAGGCGTGGTGCGTCGAGGTTCGGTGGTCGCGCTCTTCTCCCTCCCTGCGCGGGCCAAGTCCCCCCAAACAGGGGGCGGTCCTGCATGAGGCCTCCAGTAGTGTTCTCCCCTGCCTCGAAGGTCCGCGAAGAGCCCGCAGGAGACTTCAGTGGCCCCCAGATCGAGCCAGGAACGCTCCCGGGGCCACGGGCTCCCGAGTGCCTCTTTTGCGGGTCTTCCCAGGGGCTTCTGTCCGGCCCCCTGCAGAGTTCCCAGAGGCCTCCCTGGGGCCTCCCCAGGGGGGACTCGCAGGAGCCTCCCAGGATCGAAAATGCCCACCTGCACCGCAACGTGTGGCGACTGTTGCCCGCCCCCTCAGCAGGAGTAGGAGGAGGAGGAAGAAGAAGAAGAAGAAGAAGAAGAAAAAGAAAAAGAAGAGGAGGAGGAGGAGGAGGAGAAGGAGGAGGAGAGCGCCCCAGGAGCCTTCCAAAGAACTCCCAGCAGCCTCCGCGAGACCTCCGGCGCAGCTGCACAGCGCGGCGCCGCGTGGGGGCGGCCAGGCCTCCCCCTGATCGGGGCCTCTCAGGGCCTCCCGGGAGCTGTCCCGGGCTGCCCCCATTGCACTGCCCGCTGGGCCTCACCAGCGGGGGGGGCGAGCAGACCCCCTCCGCCGAGAGCGGCCCGGGGAGCCTGCCAGGCGCCTCCCCGGAGGAGCCTCCCGGGGCGCCCTCGGAGCGCTTCTCCCCGAGGCCTCCCGGTGAGCCTGCGGCGCAGCTGGAGCTGCAGACGCGCTCCGCCCACCTGCGGCGACACGCCCGTCCTGCCTGTAGCAGAGGTTCGCTCCGCCGAGGGGCCGGCATGTCTCCGGGGGGCTGCCGGCCCTGCCCAGCATCATGCCAGGGTCTTGGGCCTGGAGGCCTCTTAGAGGCGTCCTGGGGTCTCGTGGGAGACCTCCTGGAGGCCTCTGGGGGGCCTCCGTGTTGCACTCTTGGTGGCTGTCTGGGTGCCCTCTTGGAAGCCTCTGGGGGCGTCTTGGGTGCCTGGAGGGCCACAAAAGCCCCTTCGAGTTCTCCCTCCTTGGACCTTCTGGGGGCCCTCTTGGGGGCCTCACGCACCCCTCCTCGGAGCTTGGCGGCCGTCTTGGTCTGATCTTGGAGGCATCTCGGGCCATGCTGGACGCTCTTAAGACCGAAAAGACGCCTCTCGAGATCCGTGACAAGCAAAACTATCTGAACATATGTGGTCACTGTCGGAGTCACTGTCAGAACTGTACTGTAAGTTTGATCTCGATGACCTTGTTAATCTTCGGTTGAAATCCAACCGGGCTTAGACGTAATTAACTGCACGCTGCCCACATGAAAACTATATAAATTATATCCGAATTATGCACGGCATTCTGACTCAAATGCAGGTTCACCCACACGAGGTGCCTGCGCGTTCGTCGAATTGTTTGTGGCAGTCGTAGTCCCGCAACGTGTTGATTTGATATCCCCCCCCCTCGGTCCCACCTGCGCCGCGCTGTAGGCAATTGTCACCTCGGCGTCATCAAAGCGATGCAGGAGCTGGGCATTCCCATTGACGTGGTCTCAGGCGCAACTCTCTTTGCGCTTTTGTCTTCTGCATCACAGGCTGCGAATGAACGGTATTCGCCTCTCTCGAGGCTGACAGGCAGTCGCCGTAGCGCAAGTGGCAGAGGCAGCTTTCGCCACGTTGCGTGCACTGGCGCTTGCTGCTTCCTTTGTGCTGCGGCCAGCTTGCATCAATCAGCCAGTGAGGCAGAAGTCGATGGGCAAGGTTGGGGGTGTGAGGATGGCCTTTGTCTAGAGCGGTTTACGAAGGTAGTCGCAGCAGGCAAGGGGACGTGAGGGGAGGAGAACCAAAGGAGAGGGTAGGTGAAGGGAAGTGATGGGAGAGGATGGCGGAAGGGAAGGGAGGGGAACAGAGGGGAGAGAAGGACACGGCAAGATCGGATCTTCTCTCTCCCCATCCTCTTGCTGCTCTGCTGGATGTCTCCGTCCTGTCTATGAGTTTACCGTGCGCGATGGAAACACCTCCCGGTCGTGTTGAGCCTTGGCATCCTGCTTCTCCTCGGGCTCCGCCTCCTGGCGGAGGTGGAGCTGGAGAGGGAGGAGGAGGAGGAGGAGGAGGAGGAGGAGGAGGAGGAGGAAGGAGGGAGGAGGGAGGATGGGGAGGAGGAGGAGATGGAGGAGGGAGGAGGGAGGAGGAGGAGCAGCCGTGCTGGCTGTGAAGTCCAGCGACCCCTCGCCGAACGTGCCGCGAGCGCGCAACTCCCCGAGCGCAGGGCGCCACTCTGCCCAGCGGCGCTTCGCCCAGCCTCCCGCCTGGACGCGCTCCATGCTCGCGCGCGAAAACTTCGAGCGTCTCCCTGTGAAGGACGTTCTGCCGCTCTTTCCCCCCCCACTTTCTTTCTTTTCTCCCGCTCGTTGCCTCCCCAGGCGGGCGCGCGCGCGCCTAACAGTGGGGGTCGGTAGCTCAGGTCCCACGGCCGCGCGCCCGCTTCCTCCGCCTTCCGGTTCTTCTTCCCTCCTCCTCCCCTTTTTCCCCTTTCCGGGGTATCCCCCCTAATCGTCAGGCGTCATTGCCTGCGCTCGGCGTTTCACCCCCCCCTTCCCCCTTGCATTTGGCCGGGGCGGCGGGGCTGGACAGGTGGTGTACAGCTAAGGACATGTCAAGTTACGGAAAGACTGGGCACGAAGATTGGCAGCAGTTCTTGCCCATTTTGAGCAGGGCTCGCTGTCGGCGTCGCCGCGGACGTTGTCCATTTGAGTCAGACGGCCGGCTGCCCAACAGCGGCCGCTGTCGGTGTTGGACAACATGTGTTGTTGGACATCGTACCCGTTTTTGTTGTACCCACTGCGGGCGGGCCAAGACGGTATTGGGTGCGCCGCAGTTCCCGCAGTACGGCCCATGGAGTTGCACGCGTGGGACAGGCTGCTGAAAGTCCGCATCATTTCACCAGGTCGGCGGATGGTGCAGCTGATATTGCACCAGCAGTTCTCCTCCATCGGCTACGGGCTGGCTGTTCATGCATGCGCTGGCCGGGTTCGCGAACGTCCCTTGGATGTCATCTACATCATCCCCGTCTGCGTTGGCTGTGCTGCCAAAGACTCGTGCGAGTTGGTCGTCCAGACGCTCGCGGCGCAAGACGCGGAACACCAGGCGTTGGTGGCGCAGCTCGACCAGCTCACGATCCACATCGAAGACGTGAAGGCAACGCTCGCGCAGCAACTGGCCATGATCAAGGACACCGCTTCGCTCCGTTCGTCGGCTCTGGGGCAACAGCTTTGATTGCGCGCGTGCAGGCAGCTTAAAGCCGTTGGCCGTTCCTGCTCCGCCGCACGTCCTGAGATTCGACGGGGAGACCGCTGGGTGGACCACCGAGTGCGAGGGAAGATTGTCCAATCCGACAACGGCCCTCCGTGAACAACCACCACCCCGACGCTGACAAGGTGAATACTGGAACACCGCCGAGCTGGACTTCCACGGGCCGGCCGCGACCTGGACGCAGGGGGGCGACCACCATTCCAACCCATCCAAGGACAACTCATCTGGGACAACACCGTTCGGGTAGACCTTCCAAAGGTCGCACCCGTTCTCCGTGTCGACCTCGCGAAGGTTTCGCGAGGTCGACACGGAGAACGGTTGCGACCTCCTCCTGCTCCTCCTCCTTCTCTTCCTCCTCCTCCTCCTCCTGCTCCTCATCTCGCCCCTGGAGCCCGCGTGCAGCCTGCTGCCGCCGTGCTGCACTGGCGACGAGGCCGAGCTTCGGGCCGAGTGCGACGCGGACCCCAACTGCGAGGTGGGTGTGCGCCGGCCAGGGCCAGGACGAGGATAAATCCGTTCCAGAGCGTTCCAGAACGCTCTCAGAGCGTTGCGGAAACACTTTGAGAAGGCCGCGGCGCCCGATACATCCTCCAGAGCCGCCGGATCTCAGAGATTCTCGGTGTGCCCTCACCCGATGTGATCCTCGTCCTGGCTTCGTCTGAGCACAGGGCCCCGCGTGCCTCGGAAGCGGCATCGACGCAGCCTGCCTCTGCAGCGTCCCGCACGGACGGCTCGCGCAGCCGCCCGTCGGCGACGGCGCCGCGCGCCAGACCCCGAGCCGCGCGCCGCCGTCGCCCCGCAACGGAAGCCCGCGCGACACGCCGCTGCAGAGCGTCAGGTCGGGCTCGCTGGCGACGCACTCCTGGAGAGGACGCGCGCGGGGAGAGGGCAGGGGAGGGGGGGGTGAGGGCGGCCCTCTCCCGCCTCCCGCCACGGCCCGACCGCCAGAAGAGGGGGATCGCGCTCGGGAGCGGCACGTCGGAAGTGGCGGCCAACGGCCCGAAAGCGTGCCGCTCGCGCGGCCGGCCTGGCGGCTCTGGCGCGGAGCCTGCGCTTGCCGCTCCGTGGACAAGGCGGACATTTGCACGCCGGGGGGTGGCACGGAATCTTGGCAAGCGATGTGCGCGGGGATCCCATGAGAACTTCGCTGGCCTGCAAAGGTCCAGCAAGAACATGGATTGGTGCAGAAGCTCAGCCAGGATTTCGATAGCTTGATGACGTCGCCCGCCGTCGATCATCGCGCTGGTCCCCAAGCTTCTCGGGCCCATGAAATACCTGGCCATGAACACCCCATCGGCAGGTCACTGGCATGAAACTCCATGTGCTGGAGCGCTTGTGAGTGGAAACTGGTCCAGAACCCCCGGCTGCGACGGCCCACTTTGCTTCTGCACCTACTGCGCAGGAAGGTCGTGGATCCCGGGCTGGCGAAGCTGCCGCTCACCAGGCGCTCGCCTAGTTCGGGGAACACGGCTTTTCGAAGTGCTTCGGCCGTGCCTCATTTCTCTCTCCCGCCTTGTGCTGTCACACCCCTCAGCGAGAACTATTTGAGCGGCCCCGCCGCCTTCCCCGCTCCAGCGGGGATGGGCACAGATCCGCAACAGCAACGTACTATGTATTATGGCCCATTGGGCAGATCCCCTCGCCTGCGCCCCCCTCACATCCGCCACCATGGAGGGTAGATAGTCTCTCGACTGGATCCCGCCATATAAAGTGCGCAGCAGAGACTCGGGGGCGGAGCCGAGGTGGGAAAGATACCATGCATTGAGCCTGACGCGTTGCGACACTCGGATTGGTGCAAGTGCGCCCCTACTGCAGATGCGTCCGCACAGCCAAAAGAACATGAGCCGAATCAGTGCAGCGGAGCAGAGGCGCGCATGGGAACGTATGGGTATCTATAAAGGGAGGAAAAACCACCCGGAACGGACAATTGGCGTTTACCAGACAGTCTTTGGCGTTCACTAAACAGCCTTGCCCTGTTCGGTTCCTTCAGTCGGGGTGGATTGTCTGCCCTTTATTTAATCTAGGCATTGGTCAGCAGAAGCATGCTGGTTCCCCCCCTGGTCCTGAGCTCTGCCCGCCCGTCGCCGACGACGTTCTACCTCGCGCCGCGGCCGTTGTTTTTGTGCTCTGCGCGCGCCTCCTCCTCCCCCACGCCGTCGTTAGCCTCGCCGTCGTCCTCCTGATCTGACTCCCCCCCCAGTGCTGGTGCGGTTTCGCCTCCGCGGTCCCCGCCCACGTCCCTCGGGCCGAGCGACAGGGGGGGGGACAGGGAAAGGGGGGGGGGGTCCGAAATCTGCTGCAGGCGGCTGGCTTCGGCCCCGCCGCCAGGCCCATGCCTCGACACGTGGGCGCCTCCCGGCGCCGGGAGGCGCCGGGAACAGCAGCCACGTGAGCAGATTCTCAACCCCCCCCTTTGCTATCCCCCCCTTTCGCCCGGCCCGATTCTCGGTCAGGAACCTCGTTCGGCGCGCTCGTCGGCGGCATCTACTCGATGACCGCGTCCGAGCCGGACTCCATGGGAAAGGTGGTCCGGAGGCTGATGGGCAGGCGGCGGCTCCCCTTTTGCTGCGGGCGGGACAGGGCGCGGTTGGGGGGGAGCAGCGAGGGAGGACGATGATCCTCCTCCTCCTCCTCCTCCTCCTCCTCCTCCTCCTCCTCCTCCTCCTCCTCCTCCTCCTCCTCCTCCTCCTCCCATCCTCCCCCTCCTCCGAGGAGCAGCGGCATCCAGAGCTATGTAGTTGAGCG